CCGCCTTCTGAAATACGAAATGTGCTGTGATTGGTTAGCTGGGCCAGTGTGTGTTGTGATTGGCACTACTCGGTGCCTGGTCGGGAAATGTCAGGCCCCTTACCATAGCCGCCTGCGAGCTTCATTGTAAATATTGCGTCAATATCAAATCAATTTGAGCGAGATTTAAACCCGGATGATGGTAACCACTCTAAGTTCGTCTGCCTTGGGAAAGCTAGCGTGTCTCCGACATAGTGATAACCCTCGTTGCCTTCTCTAGTGCAGCTCAACCAGGTCTCATCCCATTCGTCGATATTTGTGGCTGAGCTGATAGTTCCAATGTTTCCAACCAAAAAACAAAACAATAATAATAATGAGGAATAGTGAAAGATAGGATGTTGTTTGTACAAATACTTGTAAAAAATGTTCCCTGAGATACGGGAACGAGTACTGCATCTGCTAAGACGCTATGGGGGAAACTCCTTGTTCTCCGATGACTGAAGCCTTGGCCATTGGTTCGTGCAGTAAATTAAAAGCGAACCAATGCCTATGGCGATGAAGCCCGCCAGAGCCCGCCAATATGAGTGGGGCCATCTGGCTCTATAAACGGGCATGTCGCCATAGGATTCTCAGGTTACTTCGACTGAAGCGACCACTGAGTCGTGCAGCTTCGCAGAGGTCAGCCCAGCCATAAGTAAACGTTCCAAAAAGAAAACCCCTACAGCCTCAGCACTCGGTTAGGGCCAAGAGCGCAGGCAAGCAAAGCCTAAGTACTGGTTTTGCCCTGAGGCAAGACTGAGCCCATTATGCAGAAAGGACCCGGGCCTGTAAGGTCAGGACTTCCAGATTATAGAACCTGGCAAATGTGGACGGCGAGGCCCAGCCGGCTGCTGCACAGATCTCTGCAATGGACACACCACTAGACCAAGCCCAAGACGAGGCCATGCCTCTAGTCGAATGGGCTTTTACTCCCATGGGTTGAGTTATCACCTGTGCTCTGAAAGGAGTGGAGAGCACCTTAGGTATGTACCCTAACCTTGGTTTCAGGACGACCTTAGAGTCATTGGGCCCGAATTCCAGGCAAGAGGGGCTCACAGAGAGCGCCTGTAGATTAGAGACCTGTGCGGGACGGATTTTTCCGCAAGATTCTGTCCCGTGCCCGCAGAAAAATATCTTCTCTGGGCCCGCTCCCGCCCGCGACATTCATCTTTTGTCCCTCTCCCGTCCGCAAAACCCTGCATAAAAGTAATCTATATAGATTTTTTTTGCAGCACATCAAAGAAATTTACATTAAATGGTTCTGTAACATCTCCTATGGTCCACAACATCCCAGCATAAATGCTCCCAATAAAATATTTGTTATTTAGGTAGCATCAATATTCACAAACCACTGTTATTTTTAACAGAAAAGCAAGCATGGGCTGCTGCGTGCATGGTTTGGCATGGCAGAATGCGTGCTTCCTTTATTATCACTAAAAGCTGACATCTCAGTTAATCCCTATCTCATAAAGCTCTGTTATAACACAATAAATGTATGCACAATGAATCTTTCACAATGTCTACACTTCATGTGTTAAAACGAGGGGATTCGTGAGCCTTTAAGGCTGAGTTTTTTTTAATAAACCTAAACTTTTAATCTGATTTTATGGTTAGCATGAGTGTAAATTGTAATTGGACAAATAAATGTAATCAAAAATAAAATGTTAATTTTTAATATTTTGTTGAGAATCCTTTGCAGGCAATGACTACCTTAAGTCTGGAACAAATAGGCTGCGTTCAGCCCCGACAAAAACGGTGCAAACCTTTTTTTAAACGGAAACGGTGATGCGTTGAACACCCTGCTCTGATGACGCAAGAGTTGCAACTATGGCTGCTGAGAAGGCCATTCTTTGTGTTCTTTTTGAAGAATTTTCGGAGCCTGATGAAATCGGTATAAATACGTGTTTAATACTGCAAAATACGCTCGATGGTACAGTCACTGCCCTTGCCCTCCAGAATAAAAGAGAACATCCCAATCAAATGAAGGGATTTGTGGAAACTGTGGTTCC